GAGTTCTTGCTCTGCTGCCGAAAAATACCGAGCCGAGCGCGCTCCGTCGACATTTTCGCCGACCAATCAAAGGGTTGCCGATCAATGTTTCCACTATCGATGCGTAGCCCCTTTTACGAGTGATCTCACATTACTTCATCCAGCTGTACTAATCGTCAACAGCAGGTGTGTTCGGAGAACCGGATTAGCGAGCTCACGGTTAGCCGATGATTTGATCTTGGATGTAGTAAGCGACGTACGAAGAACGGGCCCCCGAAACGAGATCATGTCTGTCACCGATTCTGTTTGTAATTTTTGAGGACGGAATTTCAAGGCATAGCCAAGTGGTGGAAGGCTTTCACCACTTTCAGATTTGGCAGTGGAAGGCACTGCCAAATCTGAGGCCATGGTCCTCAGCTGGAAAAGGGTGGAGACCAAAATTGACCCGTGCCAGAATTTCTTTTGGCAGAGAAATTGTCCGATGTTCAAAATAACATTAGCAAATGCCATGAAGTGTTGAGTTTTTGTGATGACCTAAATTGTCTTTGTCCAACTACGTTCCTGTTAAGAAAATGGATAATGATGACAGTACCCAAACTTGTTTTGTTAACTTGAAATATTTTATTAATTTAAAAATAATTATAAAATAATCATAATCCAGTCAAATTAAAACCAGAGAATGATTTAAAAGACATTTAACCAAAACAAGCACAGGAGAAAAGCAATGCAAAATCTTTGAATAACAGAATTAAAAATGGAAAGAATACACCTTTACACATACACCTTACCCCACCTCCCCCTCCCCCTCACAAACACTGTTAAATTCTTATTTTTAAAGAATACGTTTGCTTTCTTACCCTATTCCAGAATAAGCTAGAGTATACTACAGTGAGGAGAAACCTAGCTAAGCATAAAGCCTGCAAAAAGAGGAAAGTGACAGAATCCAGCTAGCTTCACCTCCAAACCTTACTAAGAAACCATCAAACTTCAGTTTTATTTAAGGCATTGCCCTTATGTTTGAAGCAGGGCAGCAGAGGATATCAGCGGCATAAACAACAGATGCATGATAACTGTGACATGTTTTGAGTGGAGAGGTGATAGAGGACTTCATTTCTTTTTCACATCGACCTTGTAATTATTTGGATTTTTGCATGACTTCTTCCCAGGACTTGGAGACACTATCTGCCAGTTTCGAAAAAGAAAAACATAACAGTGAAGCCATCAGTAGATTTGTGATTACAGAGAAATCTTACACGGTAGCTTCAGAGTTGACCCCAAACATTGCTTTCTAGTACAGTCCTCCAGTGTCCTTGTAGTAAATGTGACAGTTCAGTGCAGCCTTGCTAGTGCTAGCTTAACGCGTTATGTTTACATTTGGTGCTTTACTTTGTGTGATGGAATTCAACCCTAACCTAAATTAACATCTGATTTAAAGTATGAAATTCAAAGCGTTGTCAAAATTTCTTCTTTTATTCCATGTGCAAGAATCCTATTCATAGTGTGTGTGTGCGTGTGTGGGGAAGGGGGACAAAAACCTTCACTGCATGAGGTCCGGGTGCAAGTTTCTTTGCTTTAACCCAGCTACTGCCAAGTGGGACATGAATGCCAGGGAATATTTTTGACCAGGTTTATCAAATCAACCGGAAAAACAAAACAAAAACAAACTTCTATTAGTGTTAAAAATGAAGACAATTTTGAGAACCTAAGAGGTCAAGTACATTGCTTAGCCATAGTGAAAAAAAAAGACATTTTTGGTGCAACAAGTTTGTTGTTTGGACCTTGGAACAGTTTTTTTTTTTTTTTTTTTAAACAAAAGTGTTTTATAATGTGTTTTGTGTTTATGTACGGACCACATGACTTTTTTGATGTCCTGATATATAAAACCTTAGATTGAAAGAGGGTGGGCTACTGTAAATCTGGCCTCAATACTTCTAACATGCATGTGCATCATTTTGTTTTATTACTCTCAACCTTTTCCATGTAGACTTCTTTTAAGATTAGAAGTTGTGGCGGTCGATGCGGTCCTGCTCCCTCTGAGATTTTGCCATTTGCTTCTGCAGCCGAATGTGCTCGGTGAAATCCCTCACGGCTCCCGATCCCCCAGCACAATGGCAGATGTATTTTGCAGCCTTTTTAGCCACAGCTGGAGCATCGCCGGGTACTGCACTCAGCCCTGCCAGGTTCAGGCATTTCACATCTGCTTGATCAAAACCTGAGAGGGGAACAGAAGATCATTAGTCCCTATAATAATTTACTTAAACAAGCTGCAGAGATTGGCTGCACAAACACAAACAGTCAGACATCTTTAAGTGTTAATTTGTTTCCAGACTTTATTCAGATTTGATTAAAACAGCACTTTAACATAAATGTTAAATACACCACTTTTTAAAGCAGTAGCCTCAACATGTTTCCAATTCCTGCCAATTAAACTGTTAACACATAAAAATGCAGTTGTTTTACCCATGAACGCCACATCCTTCCATTCCAGCTTCTTCTTCTCAACAATTGACTTCAAATCATTCAGCGGCTCCTTTCCCACCTTCTCGACCTTGCACTTTATCCTATCTTCAAGTTTTTGAAGCAAAGCTGGGTCAATGGGGTCTTTCTCTGTGGTCAACAGTATGACCTGGTGAAGCGAGACAGAGTGCAGTTTTGTGAGCGACGTTCCACAAGATGGGTCAGTTTACGTAATTCTGTTCAGACAGCTGAAAAAAAATCCAACCTCAACTTGTTCTTCCTGCAGCATCCGAAGCCCAGTTGTGTCTCTGGTGTTGACAGACACCATTGCCTCTCCCGACACAGACATAAAGATCTTTCCATCAGTTAAACAGCCGGAAATGTTGCAGAACATTAGGCGGACCACCTCTGGTGTGTCCTTACCGAAGTAACCGTACCTGATTGGAGAAACATAGGCTGGATCAGGAAAGGGAATGGATAGTTGATTAAAAGCTGACTGGTAGACATTATTTTCGGTGCTTCTCACCTGAGAACCCTCTGTTCTGCCACAGGCCAGTCGATGTCCACGTCTATATCTACGCTGTACTCCGGCAGCATCTCATAGTAGGTTAACTTACCGCCCTAGAGAGGTGAAAACACAAGCATGACTTACATGTATTGTTACACAAAGGGTTTGGAAAAGCCGTGGAGCTGTCACAGTCCAATTTGGTCCATTATAGATTTTTTTCCCCTTGTTGGGTACCAGCCAGATCTCTGTCCTTATGCTTTGGGTTTTGTTTTGTGCCAGATTCTTCTCCTAAATACATCAAACTACACAACAATTAAAAAGAGAAATGCGTAACACTGAGTATCAAATGAAATTGAACCCAATATCAGTTTGTTACGGCCTTAGCAGGGCCTCCTCCTGAAGGTGCCTGTGTGGGCGTGTCCCACTACCTCTTCTGCCTGAGGTGCCACCTTTCCCTTTTACACAGCTGACTCCCGTCAGTAATCAGGGAGATTTAAGCCCAGGGAAAGGTGAGCTCTGGGCCAGAGTGCGGTTACAGCTAGTGAGCTGAGTGTTTGTAGCTAGTGAGCTGCTCTTTCTTTTTGGCTTACGTTTTACTTTATTGACCACGCCTGAGTTTTGTTTGTTTTCTTAAACGGTGATAGTGGTTTGTCCGTCTCTTTTAGTTGAGTTTGAAAGGGAACTTTAATAAAACTCTTTGATTTAACCCTTTTGCCTCCTTGACTCCTTTTTCCAACCCGGTCACTTTTTGTTACTCCCCCCTCACCGCCTAGACCCCTCAGGGGAACGTAACACAGTTTCAGTAAGAATCCCACAAAAATAGAGCACAACTAACTAAACTTTCAACACAGGAAATCCAGCTCAGAAAGTCTGTTTTTTCTTTACTTCCTCCCAAAGTTAAGTTCAGCTTCTTATTCAATGAAACTTTTTTCTATAAAAATAACATTGTTCCTGTTTTAAGCAGACTTTTTTCCTGCAGTCCAAGGACTCCTTTTCATAATCAAGAGTCTGAAAATTTCAAAAGGTTGCAGACAGCATGCCCAGATATTTTTCCAGCAAAAGGGATTGAACAATCTCTTCGACAACTTAGCTGATGAAATCTGATCCATTTGTCATCAATCTCATCTGCTGCTGTTTTATAGGTGTGTGTTTAATGTTGGTGCCAACCAGGAATTAAAAAAAAAAAAAAAAAAGGCACTGTTTAACTGTTGGGCATTGGGGCTGTTTTTTCAGTCATTATAAAGTCATTATAGTCATTTTAAACCATATATGCACCACCACCATCATCACCACCACCTTTACCTGCAAGTGTCCTTCCTTTTCAATGATCTCTTTTTTGGCGAAGTAAAATGAGCCATTCTCACACAGCTCCCCTGGCCAGTCCTGACGCCGCGGCCGTTTGGCTGGCTCCAGATTGAATGGCACTGTTTGCTCACCAGCTAGAAAGAAGCAGGATCCATTAATAACAATGCAAACTCCTCTTTCCATTAAGTAGTTATTTACACAGAGAAGCTGTCTGCTTCTTGACATAGTAACCAGTGTGTGAGTGAACTGAGTTTTTAAAAAGACATTTAAGGGAAATGCATACCATCATAGTAGGTGGGTGACCAAATCTGTGAGAAATGTGTTAAATTCTGTAGCTTTGTTTGTTTGTATGTCTGTCTTTTATCATATACATGTTAAGAGTTGTATTGATCTGTTGGTAAAACTAATGAAAAAAGGAAACACGAGTGTGCACGATGAAGAAGGATGAAAAGGAAATTCCAGTAAAAGGAACAACAGTCACGATCTATACCTCCAACAACCAGTTTATGAGTTAACCTTTAAACTGGTTGTAAACCTGGAGGTAGGTGTGTAACCAAGTGCACTGACAGGTTATGTGCATGTGGGTAATTACAAACACAACCTAGAAATACATGTTTGTGCCAAAGAGAAATGACTTTATGCCAAGTAAAACAGGATGCATGGTTCAAAATGTCTTATTGGTGATAAGTAAGCAAGGGAAAAGGAATTAACAACTAAATTAGGACTTAAAGTTAGATTTTATGATTCACCGCATCAGGATATATTAGCACTCCGTATGGTGACAGTAGGAACTTAAGAGTCTTTTAGTTCTGGTCTGAGGGGATTCACTGTTGCTGCAAAAACCCTTCACTTCTGTGAGATTCTGGGTCTTTTATGCCTCTTTTAAAATACAAAAGTGTGGGACTAGTCAGCTAGATTTTTAAATGTTAGCTGTTATTAGTTTTGTTTCATTAATGTACAGCAGCAGTTTAATGTTCAAAGTTACAATGCCACCAGCCACTACCTGGAGCTGCGCACCTGACGGATGGCTGCACTCCTCTTTGGCACTCTGTGTGAATGCAAGATATAAATGAAGAAAAGTGGAAAATGAACTAGTGACAGCCGTGATAACTGGCGATGTTTTGGATTATTATTAGTATAACTATGGAGAGTGAACAAGATTGAAAAGATCAGTGTCTTGTTATGTTATTTGTTCAAGCTATCAACATACTGGGAAATGATGCAAGTACCTGACTTTTGTTTTGTTACATGAATCTGCTGCATCTGATTTAGGTTGGTAAGAAATGTCAGGCACAGTGTGCAGTGACTTAATTATTGGTACCTCTTTTAACTCAGCCAAAAAGTTGTAGGGCACATAATCACAGAGCAGGGTCAGCAGATACTGAGGCACTATGTGAGGAGTGAATTAGAGAGAAGATTGTGAGGCAGGTCTTCTCATCATACATCACTGTCTGACCTCACAAATGTGCCCCAGGAAGAATCAGAAAAAAACTTCCCATATAACTTCTAAATTTTGTGGAAAGCCTTCCCAGAAGAGTTGAAGCCATTATAGTTGCAAAACGTCAGCAGAGATCATATTAAACCCTATGGATTAAGAATGGGACGTTCATATGCATGTAAGGTTAGGCAAGCAAATACTTTTGGCAGTATATTGTATTTTGTAAACACTCTCTGCAGGGAGACGAGTAATCCATGAATGCCTAACAACTGCCTCTGTGCTTCCCCCGGGTGGAAAACAAGCACAAGTGTGAGTAAGTATCAAAACTGAAAGCTGCTTGCATGCAGATCAATAATTATCAGATGAAGGGAGCTGATAAGCTTGGAAATTTAGTACTGTAATAGCTCAAATAACCAGTTCTCAACTTGGAACCAGTTCTCCAATCCCATTTTTAGAAACACCAAGCAGTTAAAAAAAACAAGTATAAAAAAGAAAGACTGTCACTGTAAGGATTCATTGTTTGTCCAGTGAAGCACCTGTTGGATTTTGTTTATCGCAGTTAATAATTACTAAGGTGCAGGTGCAAAGATCGTCTATTTAATGGCTGCTCCTCCCTGTCATTTGAATCCTTTAACATACCAACAAGAAATCTGACCTTTTTGTGAAAATTGAGAAAGTGAGTGTAAAAACACAACACACAGGTCTATTTGGAAGAGAAGACAAACAAGATGAACAGGATAACCACACCCTCTAAAACTAGTTTAAATACTTTCCTTTAGGCAGCTGAAATATAAGAAGCACTCCAAGAGCACAAACCTCATTCATTACATTAATTTTATGTTCTTTGTTATTTTTAAATGCATTTTAAGAGGTTTGTAGTGCAATAAGAATCAGATAAGGGGGGCATTGATATGTTTAGTTATACAAACATGTAGGAGCACGTAATGGATAATAGATGAATAACTTGAGCTTATTATATAAAAATATACTACAGTATATTTCTAACTAACTAGGCAGCTCATTCTCTTTCTCTTCATAATACTTTCTGTAAGACAGTAACACATTTTGTAAAAGGTAAACGTGAGATCAGAGGTCAAAT